AACACAATCAAAGTACCCCTGACAAATGGCCATCCAGCCTCTGTTTAAAGCCTCTAAGGAAGGAGCTTCCACTACACTCCAAGGCAGTGAGTTTCATGGTCAAGACGTTGGAGTATTGTGGGGTTTTCGCGCTGTATGGTCGTGTTCTGGCAGCATTTTCTCCTGACATTTCACCTGTGGCTGGCATCTTCAGAGGCATCTTCCCAATGTTCAGATGGAATCTCCTTTGTCAGAGCTCTAGCAGGTATACCCACTTAATAATTATTATTATCCTCATGTGGCCTCCAGATGCTACTGGTTATAATTTGTACTTGCTGTCTTTATTACAGTCCAATAATAATATTAGAAGGGCCACATAGTCTCTTTCCCCTCTGTAAATTTAATTGGCTGTTAAGTGATAGGGCCCCCTGGTAGCGCAGTGGGTTAAACTGCTGAGCTGCTGAACTTGCTGACTGAAAGGTTAGTGGTTCGAATCTTGGAGCAGGTGAGGTCCTGCTGTTAGGCCCAGCTTCTGCCAACCTAGCAGTTCGAAAACATGCAAATGTGAGTAGATCAATAGACACTGCTTCTGTGGGAAGGTAATGCAACTTCATGTAGTCATGTTGGCCATATGACCTTGAAGGTATCTATGGACAGTGTCAGCTCTTCAACTTAGAAATTGAGATGAGCACCACTCCCCAGAGTCGGACACGACTAGACTTAATGTCAGGGGAAACCTTTACCTTAAGCAACTGCAGACTTTGCTATCTACTTAGTAAAGGTAAAGGTTTTCCCTTTAATTAAATCTAGTCCTATCCAACTCTGGGGGTTGGTGTTCATCTCCATTTCCAAGCTGAAGAGCTGGCATTGTCTGTAGACACCTCCTAGGCCATGTGGCCAGCATGACTGCATTGTTACCTTCCTACAGAAGCAATCTCTATTGATCTACTCACATTTGCATGTTTTCGAACTGCTAGATTGGCAGAAACTGGACCTTACAGCAGGAACTCACCCCACTCCCTGGACCTTTCTGTCAGCAAGTTCAGCAGCTCAATGATTTAACCCACTGCGCCACCAGGGGGGCTTGGATTATCTACATAGCTGTCCAGAAATGCCAGTAGAACTACTTCCCTATAGAAGTCCAAACACAGAAAAAAAAACCCTGGATTTTCCCAGGCATTTTGTTACTGAACGTAATGTAGCATTGGTGCTCACCGTATTTTAAGAACAGTTATATTTTATTGTGAATAGCACTTTGGAGTGGTTGTTTTATTTTTGGATGTAACTAACAGCCTTGAGAATGGGTTAAGTTAGAATGGCAAATCATAAATTGCATAAATAAATGAAGATTTGCTTGCCAAGTCCTTGTAGGAGGGAGGCCTAGCCAGGCTTTTAGCTTCTCTGGCTCCCTTGAACTTGGCAACAGGGGAACCTGAGGTTGTGGGAACCGGTCAGACTTTGCATGGCACTTATCTCCTATTAATAAACTCTGGAGAATGGTGGCTTGCTTTCCATGAATTTTTTTTTAATTGAAAATAGTTTGCAGCGTGGGCCAACATAGGCCTCCTGTTCTAGGGTCGAGCTCCCTGACCTGCCTGGCCAAGATTTCTGTATGGCAAGCAACATTTTAACAGGTCCTCCTACGTGAGGTTCCCATACATCCAGCCCGATATGTGTGCTCTTGTCTCAGCATTTGGATCCATTCCCCTTTATCCTAGGAGTTGCCTTGGAAATGGGAAGAAAGCAAAGTAGTCTTCAAAGTCAAAAGCTTTGGCAACGTTTCCTAAAGGCCATATATAACCCCTGCAGCCACACTTTAGCTTTTGTTTACCATAAATTAGTTCTCAAGGTGCCACAGACTTTTTGTCGTCTGATGAAAAAAAAAAGCGCCAGGACACCAGCCAAGCAAGTATATTTTCCCTTCTGCCCACAGCGCAAATTGAAGTGTACACGGGAAGGGGCTCTATAGACACTGCTTTTTCTGCAGAGGACAAAGCAAGCACTGCTATGAATACTGCAATGGCTATTGGCTGTCCTCATGTTGACACTCAGATATTGCCATGTGATCCTGCAGGGGGAAAATGTGCTATTTAAGGGAGCTAAGCCTGAGTTATTTAGAATTTCTGCAACGGGGAGAAATCCCAGGATTCTGAACGGTAAAGCCCAACCTTGTTTAATGCTTTCTCTCTTATTTACTGTACACACTCAATCTGTCACTGATTCGGCCTTGGCCAGCACTGTTTGTTTACAGCGAGTGACCCCTGATTTTCCAAATGGAAAAAGGGGAGGAAAACAAACAAGGGGGGAAATGCACAAGTTTGGCTCAAGACCAATTGGCATCTCTGTAGATTACCAAAGAGGTCATGAAAATAAGGTTGCGAAAAACTGTAACGGATTGGAAAGACGGTCATGCATGAGATACTTCCCTAAACCAGTCAGGAGACGGGGATTTGTTTTCTCTCATGTGGAATAATGGCTGGACAAAATGGCATATTAAGTTTTTGGCCAGACATTTATTTTAGCCAAGAAAGTCCAAACTCAAGAAAATTAACAATGGTAAGAACGCTGAAGATTTATTTGGAGAGGGAGGGAAATGGTTAATACATAGTGTGGCTCTTAGAGCAAGCTAATGGGGGTGCTACTCTTTAACAGCAAGAAGCAAAAACATGTTTATTGTTGTAAAAAATCAATCAGATCAAAGATAGATAAATAGGGATTTAAGTGTTTAATGTATATGCTTCAAAAATCCCGGGGCCACCATATACTATAGTAGTAGCAAGAATTACAAGGGCTTCCAGATGTGGCTGCATTATTCCCATCACCCACCCCAGTCTTACCGAATTAGCAGTAATCCATTTGTTTACAAAGGCTACTAAATTTATTTGCAAAATAAGCAGATGCAGGCTCTTGATCCTGCTAGTAAAAAGAAAGCAATCCAGTCTTCCAAGGGTACACTCGGGATGTATCTACACTGTGGAATTAATGCAGTTTGACCCCACTTTAACTGCTGTTATTTTTTATTTTGTGTGTGTGTGTCAGGAGCAACTTGAGAAACTGGAAGTCACTTCAGGTGTGAGAATTGGACATTGTCCAGGGGACGCCCAGATGTTTTGATGTTTTATACTTGTGAGCGGCTTCTCTCATGTCCCCACATGGGGAGCCAGAACTGACAGAGGAAGCTCATCTGCGCTCTCCTCAGATTCGAACCTCCGATCTGTCAGTCTTCAGGTTATTTTTGTTGTTGCTGTTATATTTATGGGCTGCTTTTTGTTTCTTAATGAGACTCGAAGCAGTGAACAATGCCAAAAACAGTTCCATGGCTCAATGCTTTGGAATCACAGGAGTTGTAGTTTTACACGGTCTTTAGCCCTCTCTGCCAAAGAATGCTGGTGCCTCCCCATACTATAAATTCCATGATTCCATAGCATGGAGCCATGACAATTCATGTGGAGCCAAACTGCATTAATTCCACAGTGTAGACACACCCTTAGTGAATCCCTACACCACTATTGATTGAAAAACTTGGCCCTCATTTTTACTGGCAGCAAATGAGGGCCCTTCCACACTGGCCCTTTATCCCAGGATCTGATCCCAGATTATCTGGCAGTGGGGACTCATATATTCCTGTTCAAAGCAGATAATCTGGGATCAGAGCCCCTGGTGGTGCAGCGGATTAAATCACTGAGCTGCTGAACTTGCTGACCGAAAGGTTGGCGGTTCAAATCCAGGGAGCGGGGTGAGCTTCCGCTGTCAGGCCCAGCTTCTGCCAACTTAACAGTTCAAAAACATGCAAATGTGAGTAGATCAATAGGTACCGCTTCTAGACTTAATGTCAAGGGGAAACCTTTGTTGCGAAATGAAAATCATGCGTAGTTCAGTCTTGCTAGAGAAAAATTATGCCACGCAGATATCAGTAAAGAATATGGTGTTTACTCTTTGTTATGCTGAGTAACATATATACAATCATGTGAACAGTCGCATTGACTCAGACAATGTCCTTTGAGAGAGATTCAGATGTTCCTTGGGTGTCCATGTGAAGGGTCTTTTTCTAGCAGCTCAGAAGCATAACTTGTCATGGCAAGCTCCTGCACAGAAACCTAAACATGTAACTGAGTTGTTGTAGGTTTTTTGGGCTGTATGGCCATGTTCTAGAAGCATTCACAATCTCTGAAGATGCCTGCCATAGATGCAGGCAAAACGTCAGGAGAGAATGCTTGTAGAACATGGCCATACAGCCCAAAAAACCTACAACCACCCACTGATTCCAGCCATGAAAGCCTTCAACAATAAACATGTAACTGGGTTGTTGTAGGTTTTTCAGGTTGTATGGCCATGTTCTAGAAGCATTCTCTCCTGACGTTTCACCTGCATCTGTAGCAAGCATCCTCAGAGGTTGTGAGGTTTCGGCCATGAAAGCCTTTGACAACATGTAACTGTTGCCAAAACTCCCAGGCTCAGCTACCCTCTCAGGCGTGGCCCAATCAATCAGCTTTGTGCTTTGCATAGATTCCAGTTCAAAGAAGATAATGTGAGCTTTTATTTAGTTGTGTGGAAGACATTTCAGTTCAAAGCAGATATTGTGGATTATCTGCCTTGATATTTTGGGTTATATGGCTGTGTGGAAGTGCCCTGAGAAAAGCTGAATACTGCTATTAAAATTAGAGGAACCTATTTGCTATTATTATGCTTTTAAAGCTATGAGCTCGATCCTGAAGAGGGAGCAGGCTTATGTGAAAGGTGCCTATGGCAACCGTGTGGGGAATTCTGGCGCCTGTAGTTCTGGCTGTGAAGGCCTTAAACTGCGAATCCCAGAATTCCAGAGGATGTTGCCATGGCAGCTAAGGCGGCACAGGGGCGCAGAAGAAGAAGAGGGAAGTCAGGAGGAGGAGGAGGGATGGGCGGGGCGAGTGTGGTGGTGATGGGGGGGGGGGAGAAATTCCCTTCCGCGCTTCTGATTGGATGTCCTTCCCTGAGGGGGACCAATCGGAAGCGCGCCGCCCGCCTTCCTTAGTCTCTGGGCTCCGAAAGAGCCGCCGGTCGCCGAGGGAAATCTCGAGGCTGGGCGGGAGAGGGAGGCTCGCCTCGCCTTGCCTCGCGCGCGCTCTCTCTCCCCTCTCCCACTGTCGCGCGCCCCCTGAGACGCGCGAGCCATGGGCGCCTGGATCCTGGAAGCGACCCTTCTCGACCTCTGCCCGCTGGTCCTCCTCGCCTTCCTTCTCCAGGGCTCTGCGGAGAAGCTGGGTGAGTCCAAGCCACCCCTGCCTCCGGCTTCGTGAGGAGCTGGAAAGTTTGGGGTGTTGCGTGGGAGGGGGCAGCTCTACACTGGAGAGTTAATACACTTTGACAACACTTTAACCGCCATAGCTCAAGGCTAAGGGCCGTGTAACTTAACTACCCAGGATTCCATAGCATTGAGCCATGGCTCTTAAAGTGGTATCAAAGGGCATTGATACCCTATAGAAAGCATGGGGAAACTTGGGCCCTCCTTCCAGGTGTTTTGGACTGCAACTCCCACCATTCCTAACAGCCTCAGGCCCCTTCCTTTCCACGGAAAGGGCCTGAGGCAGTTAGGAATGGTGGGAGTTGCAGTCCAAAACACCTGGAAGGAGGGCCCAAGTTTGCCTGTCCTATAGTGGAAGTGTGTGGGAGAAAGTGGGGGTGATATACTCTTACACACCACTTCCTCTCACCTGTGTAAATGGAACATGAGCCCCTTTCAATGAGGATGCCAATGGATGGGAAGATATCTGGCACTTTTTTGCATTGGCCCTATAGCAAGCATGGGCAAACTTGTGCCCTCCAGGTACTGTGAACTGCAACTCCCACCATTCCTAACAACCTCAGACCCATTCCTTCCCCCCCTCCACCTGAGGCTGTTAGGAATGGTGGGAGTTGCAGTCCGAAACTCATGGAGGGCCCAAGTTTGCCCATGCCTGCCATACTCACACATCACTTCCGCTCACCTGTGTAGATGGAACATGAGCTCCTTTGGATGGGAATGCCAGTGGATGGGAAGATATTTAGCACTTTCTTGCCACCTGTATGTTCTCTTGCTCCTACACTGCGGAATTAACACAGTTTGATACCATTTTGACTGCCATGGTTACTGGAATCTTGAGAGTTCTAGTTTAGTGAGGCACCAGCTCTCTTTGGCAGAGAATAATAATAATAATAATAATAATAATAATAATAATACTCTTTATTTATACCCCACCACCATCTCCCCAATGGGGACTCAGGGTGACTAAGATGAGGCCGAGCCCCAAAATAATACAACAGAATAATATACAAAACAATAGAAAACTAAACACAACAAATACATAATGCAACAAAATAAAATAGACAATGCAAAATGACATAATAAAATCAACCACAAAGGGCGGGCCAAATGTGCAAGATAAAATGTTAAAAAATGTTAAAAACCTGGGTGAGATAGGAAGTAGAAAAAGTGTATTTGTAAAGGAGGAGCCGAGACAGCGCAACTCCCACTCTCCATGATTACATAGCATTATAGATGTCTCTGGAGTCGTTGTGACCCTTCAAGGTGCTTCTAACTTAAAACCAGCATAATTTTATGTGTATCCAAGGGCCGTTCCACACAGCCATATAACCCAGAATATCAAGGCAGAAAATCCCACAATGTCTGCTTTGAATTGGGTTATCTGAGACCACACTGCATATAACCCAGTTCAAAGCAGATAATGTGGGTTGCTGTGAGTTTTCCTGGCTGTATGGTCATGTTCTATACTCTGGAACGTGGCCATACAGCCCAGAAAACTCACCGCAATCCAGTGATTCCGACCATGAAAGCCTTCGACAACACAAATAATATGGGATTTTAGGTTCTTTGGGATTTTTTAAAATCCCAAAAAATATGGGATTTTATTCAGCTGTGTGGAAGGCGCCCAAATGTGCATGTTGGGAGAGGTTGAAGAAAAGCAGATACTTTCCCCACTCTGTTTTGATTTGGACACTAAAGTGACTGAAGTTACAAATCTCTATAAGACTGTAAATACAGGATGACGTGAGCCGGGATGAATTTAAATAACGTACATGAGTAAGACACTCATATTGTGTCCAGTTCTGGGCACCACAATTTAAGGAGGGTATTGACAAGCTAGAACGTGTCCAGAGAAGAACGGCCACAGCAATCAAAGGTTTGGAAACCCAGCCCTATGAGTAACGGCTGAGGGAGCTGGGGATGTTTGGCTTAAAGAAAAGAAGACCAGGAGGGGCATGATAGACATGTTTAAGTATTTGAAAAGATGTCACATTGAGGAGGGGACAAGGTTGTTTTCTGGTGCCCAGGAGACTAGGACATGGAGCAATGGATTCAAATTGCAGGCAAAGAGATTCCATCTAAGCATTAGGAAGGACTTCATGACTGTAAGAGCTGTTCGGCAGTGGAATATGCTGTCTTGGAGGGCAATGGAGTCTCCTACTCTGGAGATTCTTAAACAGACTACATCAGTGGTTCTCAACCTGTGGGTCTCCAGATGCTTGGCCTTCAACTCCCAGAATTCCTAACAGCTGGTAAATTGGCTGGGATTTCTGGGAATTGTAGGCTAAAACATCTGGGGACACACAGGTTGAGAACCACAGGACTAGATGGTCATCTGTTGAGGGTGTTTTGATTGTGTGTTCCTGCATGGCAGTGGATTGGACTAGATGGCCCTTGTGGCTTCTTCCAACTCTATGATTCGTGTTGCTGCAGGATTTACATTGTGTGTTTTCAAGTTATGTCCATTTTATGGCCAGGCTATGCTGAACCTATCATAGGGTATTTCTTGACAAGGTTTGTTCAAAGCGGGATTGCCTTTGCTTTTATGTATTGTTGAAAGCTTTCATGGACGGAATCACTGGGTTGTTGTAGGTTTTTTCGGGCTTGATGGCCATGTTCTAGAGGCATTCTCTCCTGACATTTTGCCTTCATCTATGGCAAGCATTCTCATCTATGGCAAGCACCTCACTACCTCTGAGGATGCTTGCCATAAATGCAGGCGAAACGTCGGGAAAGAATGCCTCTAGAACAGTGGTTCTCAACCTGGGGTCCCCGGATGTTTTTGGCCTACAACTCCCAGAAATCCCAGCCAGTTTACCAGCTGTTAGGATTTCTGGGAGTTGAATGCCAAAAACATCTGGGGACCCCAGGTTGAGAACCACTGCTCTAGAACATGGCATATAGCCCGAAAAAACCTACAACAACCCACTGCCTTTGCTTTCTTCTGAGGGCCCTTCCACACAGTCATATAACCCATAATATCAAGGCAGGTAATCCACAATATCTGCTTTAAACTGGATTATCTAGGTCCACATTGCCATATAATCCAGTTCAATGTGGATCTTATACAGCTGTGTGGAAGGGGCCTGAAACTGAAAGAGGACAACTTTCCCAAGCTCTCACCCTGTGAGCTTCCATGGCTGAATAGGGATTTAAACCCTGGTCTCCAAAGTTGTAGAGTGATCCTCAAACTAGGACAACACTGTTGTTTGTTGCTGCTGCAAAGCCTACTAAATTATGCTGTCATTGCCACATGGACCTTGTCCTGTTTTCTACAGGGATCATTGTAATAGATTATTGAAAAACCTTGCCTTGTATCGCCCACTCTACATATAGACAATTCATGACCTGATCAATCTACTTGTCCTCAGTCACTTTTCAGTCCAGTGGCCTGATAAGAACACCAAGACTTTCCTGCACACTCTTGTATGTGTGAAGCTGGCCTCCTCACAAGTAAAGAAGTATTTGTGTGTGGAACCTATATTTGAATTGAAAACCAATTTAGAGACATGTACTGTGATGCCATATTTGTCCCATTCATCCCCAACCAGGCTTGGACCTCAGATAAGTAGCACACTGTGGATCAGGATTACCTTCAGCAGTCCACCTCAACGTCAACTTTTATTTTAATTTTATTTTAATTTGTAACAGTCATATTCGTTGTTGTGTAGCATTTATAGTTCTTTCTAACGCCACCTCAATTAAAGGTATGTCTGGTTATGGGCATCAGACCTCCAGAAAAGTGAAAGACAGCAACTAAAAATATCTATTTTGTAACCTGAAAACATACCTCTCTGAGAATTTATAGGTTCTTCCGCATGACATCTGCCAGAAGTTGACCGTAAAATTGCACTGAAAAACTCCTAGAGGTGTTTTCTATATGATTCTCTAGATCTTTTAGCATGTCGATATGGTCTGTTTCCATACACTGGAGGATTAGACATTTCTAGAGATAACATTTTAATCAAATCCTTGAACAATCAAATTCTCAAATGTAGAGTACTGTAGTGTACTATACTTTTCTTAGGCTAAGATAAAATGAAAAGTAAGATATGTTGTGGAAAGCTTTCATGTCCGGAATCACTGGCTTGCTGTGAGTTTTATGGGCTGTATGGCCATGTTCCAGAGGCATTCTCTCCTGACGTTTCACCCATATCTATGACACAACCTCTGAGGATGCCTGCCATAGATGTGGGCGAAACATCAGGAGAGAATGCCTCTGGAACATGGCCATACACCCTGGAAAACTCACAGCAGCCCAAAAGTAAGATAATTCAGTGTTCATTTTTAGAGTTCATAACCAAAATTTCTGTAAATCACGGAGATTAAACACAGCAATTAACTCTCTGCTGCACTTACTATAAACAGTAGTCTAAAAAAAAAAACATAACTCTGCTTGGCACCCCCCCCCCCCCCAATACCTTCACTCAGGGCATATGCCCAGTTCACTTACACATAAGTTCATCCCAATCTCCAACTTTCCCATATTCGGCAGGAAATTTGGAAGGGCGAATGTAATAATGTTTACCTGACTGGCATTACAGCAGTCCTTTTTGTGACTGCAATCTGTGTTGTATCAGATTTCTAGACACCAGAAGGGTTGTAACTTAATTCAGGTAAATATGGTTATAGTCACCTTTCTGCTGGGGTGGGGAGATTGGGTTAGCATGTGCGTGGCTCTATGTGTCCTCCATTGATACATTGTATAAGTGCTATAACAGGGCTAAAGGGTGAACAAATTTCTTTCTTATTCATTTCTTATTCCAGTGTGATGGGGGGTAGAGATCATAAAAGCACGCATTTACAAATATAGAAGTGTAAGACTGCACATTTACATGAGGCAGCTTTTCTGCCTTTGACAGTGGTTTATATGCTACCCAAGTGGCCTTGTATTTTGCAGGACCCGAGCTGAGCTTCATAAATGCTTTGTGAAAAATCCCATAGCTATGCATCTTTAAAC